TTTTTGCGTAATATCTATACGTAAGGACAGAATAAAAGACACTTTTCCTCCAAAAAAACTAAAAAACTGCTTTAAAATGAATTCTGAAGAGAATTTTTCGTGGCGTCTGTACGAACGTATGTACATACGTGCGTGCGTATGTACGTACTCCGCATAACTCAAAAACGAGTAGCCTCAGAACGTTGAAATTTTGTATATAAGACTACTATAACATGTAGATGTGCACCTCGTATTTTGGTTTCAATCCGCCGCGCCAAACGTATATAAATATATTTATAAATATATCCACTCTGTTACCCGGCTCAGTGATCTCAGTTTCTTTACTCTTATATGTTTGTAAATTGTACATTTTTTGCTTTAGAGACACTAAGATTCGCAACACAAAAATAACGCTTTCATTTATTATTGCGAATTAAATCATGCTTAATCCTTTCTGGAATTTTTTCGAGGAAATAACTATTTAAGATTTACTTTGCAATTTTTAATACAGATATTTTCAGTTTTTATGTATTTTTGCCTTGTCGCGAAGTGAAAACTGAATTAATTGAATGAGAAATACTCAATCGTCTGTGAAAAACTATTTCGTTTTTGTTTTGTTTGCTTAATTTCTTTTATACATCGTTCTAGCTTTATAATAGTATTTGAATAGAACATGTGGCAACGATTAGATAATTCTTTAAATGATATAAATTTGTGCATTCTGAGTTATAATATGAACGAAATATAATATTGTTAAGTGAACCTAGCGTCAGAGTGTCGCTATGGTAAACAAAGTGAATTTTACAGAATGCATTTATTCTATGTGGTTATGCCTGTCTCGGCGAAGTAGGTTTAATTCAATCTAATAAGTTCAATGAAATGCAAGAAAAAACGCCGTATAATTTAATATTCCGTACAAGGAAGTCATGTGGTGTACACATCAGATTTTTTTTATTAAACTTACTTGATTCCTTCTTACAGAATTTAAAATTTAGGTTCATTTCAATGAAATTCGCCCATTTTTTTATGATTATTTTTAAAATTTATATTTTTAAATAATTTTTATAAATTTTGCGAAAAACATTTTGAAATAAAACCTATGAAATTTTTATCATCACCTTAAAGTAGATGTATTTCTAAGTAAACCTTCAAAAAGATTTTTTTATTCAAAATTCCCTAGGATATAGGTGAATTTACATATCGGCGCGTTTTGAAATTTGACGTATTTGTTATAAGCGGAAAGTAACGCGAAATATGGTTTATGCAATTTGTTAAAATTATTTGAAATAATGAACGAGGGCTTTTTTCAGCTCATCTACAATGAAAAAAGGAAAGGAAAATAGGTTGCTATAAATTAAGAAGTTCCCCAAGTAAATTATTCTTGGCGCAAACTGAAAAACAATGTGCCAAGATAAATTTTTAAATTTCTCAATAAATTTCGCACCAAATTTAATATTTAGTTATAATTTGAGTCGTAGAATCGAAATAGGGAAAAAGAATCGGCATGTCATTTCAGAAAAATCTAATTTTTTGTCAAAATTCCTATATTAGAGCAGTGCTATATATAAATTTAATATATATCCTAAGTCGGGCTTTCGAGACATGATAAACGCAATTTGAATTTCGTCAGTACTCGTACGGGAGATATGGAACTGTCCCATTTCTTTTCTTTTCTTTTTTTTTTTTTTTTTTTTTTTCAGTGCACATATAATAGGTTTCCTTAATTCACAGATATCGTAATGATATATTTTTTTTAATTTAAAATGGGCCGAAACATGTAGAGATGCGACAGAGAGAAGAAAAAAAATGAAGTGAAAAATTGGATGAAAGTAGCAGTAGTAAAAGAATGAAAATGAATCTTTTGATATCAAGGACTTTATATGTTCCGGTTTTAGCAGTCATTACTAAATGTTAACGAAGGCTCTTATTACCCGCGCAGTATGGTGCAACTTGCCCCCCCCCGTTGCAGGAAGTATTGAGTACAGGCAACTACTTCATATGGAAATCGGTAGCAGAAAGAAAGCGAAAAGGAATTAGCGTAATATCTTCAAGAAAATATTAATTAAACAAAAACAAAACAAGGATGCTGAAGTTATTAGAATTTTGAAAACGCTTATGAGTATATAATTGAAATCAATGTCGTTATACAGGATAAAATAATATTTTGTGGCTGTGAAAGTTTTCCAGGACCGACTGAAGAAGCTTTGTGAAGAAGTATAATTTTCGCAGAATCAAAGCGGTTAAGTGCCAAACTACGATTAGTTTCGAAAACTTGTTATTCGAATTATAGCCCTCTTTCTCCCGATAAGCAGACATCTATAAACCTTAACCTGAAATTATCTTTTCAAGTTAATGTGTTGACAATACAAAGTAAAGCAAATAAATCCCTTATTAGCTTTATACGAAAAAAATATATTACAAAAATATTTTTATAAAATAAACTTTAAACTTAAAACTCATAAAATAATGAATTAGAAAAGGAAATTAATTTGTTACAGATTATTATGGGATTACAGATTATTGTCGGATTTATTACAATTATTAGGGGATTAACAGATTAAATAATTGCCTTTAAAAAGTACATATGAAAATTTATATCATGAATAATAAAAGCATGGGGGCACCCTTAATAAATTTAAAAAGGTTATGGTTGATACTTTTGGCAATGAAATTCGGTTATTAGATTTTGTTATTTAGATTTTGTTACTTTTGCTATTTATTATTGTTTGTTATTAGATTTTGTTATTACTCTTTTATTATTCCACTCTTTTATTTAAAAATCAGAAATTTCCTTTAAAAAATTCTTTTACCTCTGTTGCGAGGACGCAAACATAATAAGTACGAATTTTTTTTTTTCAACGTTAAATGTTAAAACTTCTAAATCCAATTTTGAGAAACTCGCTTAACGATATTGTATTGTTATCCACAAACACGTGCGTGCAAAATGTTAAGCTCTATAGCTTATCAGATAATAATACAGGAACTTAAGACAAATTTTTTATCTTAGAGACAAACGCCATAAGTAAACTAAATAAAAGCTTACAAAATTTTGCTTTAAGCCAGAGTGCCATATTATACGTTGCGCGAAGTGTTATAATTCGATTTTTTACCACTTAAACCCACGTATAATGCTGTCTAAATATGACTAAATACATTTGTAATCAATAAATAGTGCTCTGATTGGAGTTTTAATCATTTATTGTATAATGTTTAAACGGTTATTTTTATAGCATTGTTGTAAGCGCTGGTACGGGCAAAAGGTGTGCGAGTGATGAAGGTAACAGGCAGACACAGAAAAATTTTGTCTTGCAACTTACGCAAACACATCGTAATTCTTCGGACTTGGTCCTATCAGTAGATTTCATATATCAGTAGATTTCATTCATAAGGGGCCCACCAGCGGCCGAGCGGTAAAGTCGCTGAACACTGGTAGTTCGGTCCGAGGTTCGAATCCCGCGAACGGGCTGGCTGCATGGGCGTTTTCTTGTTTTTCCCCATGTGTAACGTGTATACGAGCCAGTTTCCCTTAGAAAGTCCTCCACGAAAGGCATCCCTCCCCTAAGGCAGATAGCCCTCGTGTGCTTTGCCATAATTAAATACACCAACACCAACACCATTCATAAGATCTAATCTTCTGGGTTAACATACACTGCTACTAGACCTACGTGAAAGTCTGTTTAGCGACTTCTCGCTAAGATTGGATGATGAATACAACAAGAGAAGGGTGTAAAAGGCCCTTTTATTGAACTCAATTATTTACAGAAGGCACTGTCTCACGTGCTTACAATTTCACCATCCACTTGTGTTGAGAAGCTGAAAGATAATGGTAACAAACTAAATTTAATGGTAAGCTAGTAGTTCTAGACTACACAAATTAATTTAACCTAACAGGTTGACTCACAAACCTACACCGGCATCATATTAAACGTCGGGGTCAAGAAGACGAAGCCAAGATTCATAATTCAAACAGCTGGCAGAAATAACAGCGTGTGCACTCAATAGCGAAAACACGCTCTGACTAACCTTTTCTTTATTTCAATTTAAATACACTCTCTTTAACCCTAACTCATTTACATACTGGCGAGGAAACGCAAGGGAGGCAAGGAGTGATAGAAAAGCTAACAAAATAAAATAATTGTTAGTAAAAATAATATAAACCTTATAACCCGAACTGAGACTGCATCAGCTCAATATGGTAAATCAAAAAAGTATTTTCAGCAAAACGTCGTTTCTGAAAAATAATTAACTTTTGCACATAAAGGCAAAAAAAATGAAAGAAAAGTATTGCTTACACACAAATACACTTCGTTGAATAAGATTACCAAATTTTATTCTTATGCATTAGGTAGATAATTAAACAAATGTATTTTTTCCTACGCAATACGAACGCGAAAGAAAATTGCAACACGCTATTTATACTAAATTACATCTTTTTGTAATTATCGACTACGAATTTCTAACTTAAATCATTTTTATAATGTACTTTTTTTTATGCAAGAAAGCGAATAAAACTGAGCAAAATTCTAAAAAAAGGGCATTTTTTTTTTTTTTTTTTTTTTTTTTTTTGGTAAAATAAACAATTTTAATGGAAGAAAACCAAAAAAAAAATGTTTCAATAATATAACTTAGGGAATTTTTTTTTTTTTTTTGTTCGAAATTATGTGCCGCCGTGGACTGTTTTTAAAAATAATTATTCATTTAAAATACGTTTTTGGGAAGGGAATGCTTATTGGCAGTAGTGGCTCTATACCCCTAATTAAAACTGAAATATCGTTGTTGATAACTTTGTTTGCGTTATTAAAGCATATGCAAAACAAATTATTTATTTCTTGAATATAAAAACAGAGCGATCAAACCTAGCAATTATATTGCTGAACAGCTGGAATTACTGCGGAAACAAATTGAATCATCTGGTATTCGAAAACAAACCAATACACCTGCATCTTTCTCACACGACGTCAGAAACAACCACGTATACGTATATTTTTTATTCTATTTTTTTTTTCCACGTATATTTTTTTTCTGCCTTAATGGCAATGTCGCGGCACCGCTGCTCAGTATCAAGTGTCAAAGAAATCGCGAGTTTAAAGTGATTGCTCATATATTAGCCAGTTATTTATAGGGCATTTGGGGATTTTATGTTTTTTTAATGTCCTCGCAGACGAAGCATTGTTTCCGAAAGATGGCTTGTAGCGGAAAAGCCAATCTTTTGTGTAAAGTTTCCTTTTTCCGGACAGTTGCTTGATGAAGAAGTGATCCTAGAATTGCGTTTGCTGAAAGGGTTGATTTTTGATTTCTGGACATGAAATGATGCCTGCATAGACTCATTTTTCAGGTAAAGAGTTTTGATTAGTTGATGAAAGAAAATGATGAAATGTTAATCAAAAAATTATATATTGCTATTATAAAAATTTCATTCATTATTACGCAAAATCATTTACATCATTATATATGCTTATTTTTAGGACAGTTGGAATTATTTGAATTAAAATAGTTTACTTAATCATAAGTCATAAAATCTTAACAGCAAATCAAAATTTAAAAATAAATCAATAAAAAGCAATAAAAGAGAATACAGGCACCTTTTTTTTTCAGTTTCTTCAGGAAATAAATTTCAATTTAGGTTTTCAGCAAAGAAAAATAAGCGTTGCAAAAATTTAAACAAACGCAATTCAATTCGCACATCATTTACAGAGAGTTTGCAATTTATTTTTATTTTGAATGATGTAATGGATATACATATTCCCCTACGTTTGTAAAGAATATATGTTACAGGTATTACCGATATTGTAATAAGATGTCAGTAATTGTGGTGTTTAAAAGCAGAATTTTTATAACGTTTTCTTATTAAGGACTCGGATTTAACTAACGGATTAGTTATATCCTACTCTTAATATCATCCGCTACATTACATTTGCCTGTCACCTAACTTGCATTTTCTGACTAACCTTTTCTGAATTATATTTATAGTGAGTTACTACTTATAATTATTTATAATAAACATTCTTTTTAACACGCATTTGAAAACCACTTTTAACTACTTTGTGTATTAGATAAAGAAAAAATTTCAATAAATTAATTTGAGATTTATTTTTTTTATTTTAGTCGAATCTAGTGCATGTAATTAGTTTCACTGAATGAGAAAGCCACGATGGCTATCTGTCTAAGAAAACGGATGCCTTCGTGGAGTATTTTCTTAAGAAATTGGCTTCTATTCATGTTACACATTGAGAAAACACGAAAACCAAAAATGCGGGTAACCTCTTTTCATGGAATCCTAATCAAACCAGTTCAAACTACCTGTATCCTTCAGTCTTAACTTTCATGGTTTTCCCCATGTGTAACGTGTATACGAGCCAGTTTCCCTTAGAAAGTCCTCCACGAAGGTATCCCTCCTCTTAGGCAGATAGCCCTCGAGGCTTTGCTGTAACTAAATAACCTAATCTAACCTAATCTTCAGTCTTAACTACTCTTAGCCACTAGTGGGGCTAGAATTCTTTTGACTTCCCCGAATAAAATTATGAAAAATAATAATCGAGTAATCCGGCAAGTGAAACATTTTATCTTTTTTTTTAATTCCCTTAAATGTTAAAAATAACATTTAATTTAATCTCACATAATTTAAAAAAACCTAAAGTGACTAAAAAATTTGAATTTTTTGAAGGAGTTTCGATGTTTCTGACCACTATTATTTCTCAAAATATTAATTTTAATACACGTAGCTTGTATTATTACAAAATGTTAGCTTGCATGATTTCACAAATTTTTAATTATTCTAAAATACTGCTTTGCCATAATTAAATATACCAACATGCCATAGAGATTATAATTTTTGACATACTTGTAATAAAATAATGCATGTGAAACCGCCCTCATGAAAATTAGACAAGTTAATATGACAAATAAAACTAACAAAACTAATCATTCTGATTGATCAATTATCTATAAATAATTAATAATCTTAGCCCAAATTAATGCACAGTATAAGGCGGCCAGAAAGTCTGTATCTTACACTATTAATTTTAAATTAATGGAAATATGTTTCATTGAGACAAAGCTTCATTTGGTTAAAAACTGCAAGACATTTTTCAAAGCATGTTACATATTCTTAACAAATCACGTTTTACAGTAAAATATTCTGTCATTATTATTTTATGTTAGCAAATCCCGCAATTACTGCTCTACGTTTTTCCAAAACGTAGAGCAGTAATTGCGGGATTTTGTTAGTTTGCGGGATTTTGTTAGTTGCGGGATTTTGTTAGAATGATTAGTTTTGTTATCTACGTCTTTCCAAAACGTAGATAACAAAACTAATCATTCTTATTGATCAATTATCTATAAATAATTAATAAAGATATCTATTAATGATGAATAAGAAATTTTAATTTTAATTTAGAATGCTAATGCTTTATAGTTTCTAAAACACAGTTATTCATTTATAAAAATACAATAATCTAGTTTTAAAGCGCAGTTTTTAAAGACGCTTAACTTACAATTATTCCTACTTTCATTTCATATTCTTCTCTCCGGGATAAAATGTAGTTAGCTATATCTACGGAATATATTTATGCAGATATCTAAATGGAAAAACTGATTTCTCATTGGCTTGATCGCTTGGTGCTTAACTTTAAAATCCAACTGCATTTAGATAGGTGTTTCTCTTTTTTTCCCAGCAAGTCAGATCTGTGATGGTGTGTGCAATAAGTACCTGAAATTTCCCCTAAATACTAACAGCAGAATGGTAGATTATTTACTTGGCATTATTCTGAATCGTTTCGAAACGAAGATAAACGCTTTGTTGTAGTGCTGTTATAACTTATCTCTTGTTTAACAGTAACATCAGAAAAAGGCCCATGAAATTCATCGTGGCTAGGAGTGCAAAATTGCACCTGTCGTTGGCAATAGCCTCGAGTACTATGAAGGTGACAGTGCGACTCTCCGCCCACAATTTTGATGGAGAACCTTCCCGGGGAGGGAACATGTCCGAGGGTCTTCTACCATCAGCCTCTCGAGAGGACATTCGGCTCCCCGCGTATTTAAAATGAACTCATGCCGCACAGACACTATACATTTACAAACATTCATGCCATCTCCCGGATTCCCTACCCTTCGGTACTGCAGTCAGAGTCCTAACCACTATTCTGGTTGGGGGGGGGGATACGCACTTCTAAAGCTTTAAGAACAGATAATTGTATGTATTGAAGGGTCATTAGGATTTTTGAAGTAAGAAACACGAAAAATGAGCAATGCTCTCGCCAGCAGTTCTAAAATTAATCTTGCTGAAACGTTTAGAACTTTTATGAAATGTACTCGAATTCCAAATATCAGAACTAACTGCTATCACAATCCTATCATACACACACATATATATATATATATACATAATATCCAGATATTTTATTTTGCTAAAAGACAAATCTTTACATAAAATGAATGCTAGATTTAATTTTTCTTTATCTAAAAAAAAAATTAAACAAACAGAAAAATTTTTTCATATCCCTAAAACAGAACGCAAAACTTTAAATTTAGTCAAAACTTTAAAAATGTTACTATTTTCAAACATCACTTTGTTTATTATTAAAAACTGCAATGCTTCTAATTAGTAGTTTATTAACAAGTAAAGAGAAATAAGCTTTTTGTTCAAGGAAAACATAAAAGAAATATACAGTGTTAATATAAAGTAGGGGATAGCAATTAGATTTATTATTATAAAACTAAAATTAATTTTTTATTATCAGAAAAATAATATTAAATTCCAACATACTACGCAGTTGCCATTTTATAAATGCATTTTTATAGCCTAAATAATTGGCGATTATTAGAGGCAATATATTTGTACGTATTAACAAAAGTATAATGTGATGGCTTATTAAAAGAATGTGTTGTTTTAAATTTTAAAGTTATTTGGATAAAAAAATAATAAAAACGCAAGTATAAAGTAACGAAGAGCTTAATCTGACCTTTGTTAAAATGAAGAGCAAGTTATCAGGATAACTGAAGTGCTGAATAACTGAAATATCCGGAATAATTGGAATTCTGGTGTATGTTAAAATATATTTATTTGCCTAATTTGATTCGTCTTGAATCTTCACATGACTCATAATTAGATATAAGCTTTTTGGATTTTCCATTAGTTTTGGATTTTTTTTTTTACTTTACTCCTTTCATTTGAATATTTAGCGTCTAAACCAGATTGACATTTCTTACTCAAAGACTAAGCAGATTTTATTTTGAATTAAAATTTTATTTGCTCGTCACTCAGCATATTTTTGTGCACAAATTTCTAACATGAGCTTTTGAAATGGAAGAATAAAATAATGATTACTGGTATATAAAATTTAAACGAGTTAAGAAAAAAATAAAAACAAGCATTGGGAACGACTTTATAAATAAGTGATGTTGAAACGAAAAATAATGACAGGTAAGTAAGGAAAAATAGTGAGCTGAAAGAAATATAAAATAAAACTACTCTTTGTGCTCGAGGATCCTCAAAATAATTCTAAAACGTAACAAATAAAATCTTAAGAATAGCTTTTGAAGTTTATAAAAGCGCATTTCAAAGCAGTAAAAGGAAATTGCTCCTCTAAAAGGAAGGTAAGCGTTATTTTAAAAAAGTTCTTTCTGAAGGAAAAACAATAAAAAGAATAACTATCGGCAGGCTGAAAAACAAAAATTTCAATGCGAATAATTTAAACTTAAAATACTGAAAAAAAAGTATAGTTTTCTGCAGAAAACCATCCAAATCAGGAAACACAAATCATGAAAAAATGAAAAACTCCGAAAATAATGAGAAACATAGGAAAACTACAGAAATTTGAAGAAATAATAAAATGTGATATAAAGCTAATCTGTGGACAGGTGTAAAAGAAGGATCTGAAGATTTGAGAAGCTGAAGTATAATTACGGGCAGGATGTACCTTTTAAATAACTTACCTAACATGAATACAAAAAGAAAAAAATGCATCTAAATGTTAAATGCTCGAATGTTTGTTTCAGTATTTCACTTTTGTGTGTTAAAGTATATAAATATATATTAAAGGTATCAAAGAATTATAAAATTTGAAAAGAAACGTACAGCTATTAATATGTTAAAAAATCAAATATTAAAAAAGAGAGGATATTATTATCATCAATACATTTTAATTTTCCTGACATAGGCAGTAAAGTTAGAATTTTGTAACCGATTAAGTATTTAAGAAAGAAACGCTTTTTTGCAAAATAAATACACTTAATAACATAAACATCAAAACAATTTTTTCAATATGTTTACAGAAGAGTAGAGATGACGTTTAAATAATTCACATAAGCTATGAAGTCCGGCTGCAATGCAGATCG